CTTCTGAAAACATTTTAAAAAATGATTAAGTCTACAAGTAAACCATTGATTTTTTTGTGATCAGCTAGTCTCTCAGCAAGCATGGTACATGGTCCTTTTGAAGGAAAATCATCGAAACCTACTAGTTGATTTAAAATATAATTACTGAAAAAAAACATATAATTAGTTTTTCTAATATCAGCATTTTATCAATTAATGTCAACATACTTTTTCGTTTATAAATATTTAAATGCTTCTGAATTTTGTTTTGTTTTCATATTTTGGGGTCAATTTTTTTTTCAGGTCTCAAAAGTTTTCATAGGGCTTCAGAAAGCGCCTTAGTTCGAGGCATGGTGCAGAGGACATAGGAGAGCGTGACTCACCCAGCCCGTGGGCTCGGCGGTTAGAGCGTCAGCCCGTGGTCCAGAGAGTCCCGGGTTCAGTCCCGCTAAGGGCACGTACCTCAGTTGCGGTTTGTTTCTGGCCCCCAGTTGGGGTCGTGTGGGTGGCAGCCACTCGGTGTGTCTCTCACATCGATGTTTCTCTCTCTCTTCCTCCCTCTCTCCCTCCCACTCTATCTCAAGATAAATGCAAAAATGTCCTTGGGTGAGGATAAACATCAACAAAACAAACAAGCAAACAGAAACGGATTTCCAGTCCCAAACCTCTGCCTCCAGCCGCAGCTGCCATTGCCCAAGTTCTCGAATCTGGGCTGCAGAGGGGTCCTGAGGCTAAGGGGAAGGGGGTGGGGGATGAAAGCTGTTTCTAGGAGACAAGGGTTTCCTGCCTGTGCAGCCCGGTCAGTGGCTCAGCTCGGGAACCAGGCTGGAGACAGTCCTTACAAGATGTAATCTGAGTGAGCTCTGCACTGGTCAGAAACTCCAGCTTGGGGCACACGGTTTGGAAGAGTTTGGTAACTTTTCGCTTTGTTTGGCTTCCGCTGTGGAGGGTATCTGAAATCATGAGCATCTAGTTTCAATTGAATTCATAAAACCAGCAAAGATTCTGGCTGTAGGAAATTTAAGGCTGATGGTTCCCCGTAAGACAAAAATACAATAATAGAAAGCAGAGAAGTCTGTATTAGAAACGACTTTGTCAATCGAAGGAGTCCTATTTATGCTTCTAAGAGGATTTCATTAGAATAAGTCAACCTAATAGTAATTGTCTTAAGGCATAAAAGGAGCCAGACATTATTATTGACCCCATTTTGCAGATGGGGAAACTAAGGCTGAGAGACGTTAACACGGCTTGTAGCGATCTAGCTGAAATTCAGTTGGTAGAACTGGATGGACCTCGCCTGCCATCATGACTCAAGAGAAAAAGATGAGGATTTCAGTATTCTAAGTTCATTATTTTCTTTTTGATAAAGAATTGCTGCTGGTTTTTTGGTTTTGTTTTTAAGCATAGCAAGAGTTAAAAGCAGAATGACTTTTTACTTTCGTGAAACAAAACCCCCAGAAGACACGTTCTTGAGAAAGTCTGGATGCAGTACTGCTATTACATCGTGCTGGGCACAAACTGTTCATTTTCCCGACGCATGACTCAGTCATCACACCAGGGATGTTTTCCTCTTAAAACCTCTTGGAGCCAAATTGTTAAAGAATCAAGAGGAATCACTTAAGGATATGAGGGATCGTCAAATGGCGAACACATTGGAGGAAAGGGTGTTTGTGGAGGAGACAAATGACATCAAAGAGTAGATGCTGACTGTGAGGCTGTGAAGACTATTATATGCAATCAAGGCTCCTAGAAACAGAATTAATGAACGTAGTACCACTCCTCCCATGGTAATATTCTAGGGAAAAACAGAGTGAAAGTGGTGGCATTAAATATGCTTCATTATTTTGAAAATCTTGATTTAATACTTCATGATCTATTTCTAAATCCAGTGTATACTGATACTTGCATTTAATGACTGTCAAAGTTAAGGGGGAGCGGGGAGACCTCACAAAGATCCTTGGGTCCAAATAGAAGAATATCATCAACCAGGCTTATTAAACCCAAAAACTGAGCCTGGCCAGTGTGGCTCAGCGTATTGAGTGTGGTCCCATGGACTGAGTGGTCACAGTTCGATTCCCAGTCAGGGCACGTGCCTGGGTTATGGGCTCAATCCCCAGGAGGGGGCGTAGGAGGCAGCTGATGGATGTTTCTTGCATCAATGTCTCTCTCCCTCTCTCTTTAAAAAAATAATAAATTAAATTTTTTAAAAAATGCTTCATTATTTTAAAAAAACAAACATGAAAACCAAGTTTTCAGTTCTGCTCTCCAGTTACCCAAAGGTTTTTACTGGAATTCATTTGCTAGATTTCCACATCCCCAATTCGTTTTTACAAACTGGATATTGCATTGACATTTTAACAAATAGGCCAAACTCTAGGTCTTAGTTTGGAACATTTTTAAACAGAATAAAATTTAACTTTTAAATGCTCAAATAGGAGCATGTCTACAGGTGACTCAGACTTCAGAAACCGAGTTGGGCAGATGGAAACATTTCCGAACAGCCACTAGGAAGAGACAGATTGTTTGTCTCTCTACAACAAACTCTTAAAGTAGCATAGTCCTTAGTATGAAATACATTCCAGACACCTGTCATTACAGAAATGAACAATTTAAAGAGTCGTTTTGTGAAAGAAAAACGTGTAGCCCATCTTCTTCTGCCACGTGGTAACCATGGAATCATCCAAATGGCACCAATCGAAACACTTCTTTACGGCAAAGCTGGTTTATTGAACTTCATGAGGGAAATGTTACAGTGACATTATTCCACAACAAAAGTACTGAGTTTAGATTTCATAAGGAAACATAGTAGTACACTGTCAATAAAGCATTGTCATTAATAGCTAACTACATTATATTCTGGACTAGCTTCCTTTGGTGTTCTCAAATTAAGATTCTCCAAAACATATCTGATGTTTTCAATTAAAAGTCATAGTTAAAATAAACTCACACAGGAGTTACAAAATGTGTGATTTGTGCTTTAAAATTAATAGTTGTTTGATAGCCACCATTTTGAAAGTGATTTCTCAATTGTCAATGAAGTATTTTATAAACATTTCAGAAAATATCTAAAAGCTTTACCCCCATTCAACTAACATGTTCTTTTTAAAAACAAAACATATACAGAAAAATTAAAACAAGTTATCATTAAAAAATTAGATGTAAAGTTTTAAATAAATATTATAGTGAAAAAATAAGTCCTTTCATAGAACTATAAAGAATATTTACTAAGTTCTTACAAAAAGAAATAAAGTTAATTTTCTTTTTAAAAAACCATTAATAACAATGAAAAAACATAATGTGCTTGGAAAGTCTGTAAACTTTCTTCCCCTACTCCAGAAAATGTTTTGAAAAGCAATAAACAGGTTCCCTTGTCAAAAAAACTATTATGCCCATCACAATTATTATAGCTGTCACTGTTTCTCTATAAAAAGTTACAAATCAACATTAATTTAGATGGAAGTCAAATCATTTTGAATTTTAGCATAAGAAAAATGAATTACTCTCTCTAAACACAAATAAAGCCAACTTGTTTTTCCTTAAGCTCTAATATTTAAACCTGAGTAATTATTTTCTATAATTATTACTTTTAGTTAGTTTAATAGAATTATCTAATTTTTACCATTAAATTATCCAGTTAGGACCACCATGATGATAAAACACAAATCCTAAACTAGATTAGATATTTAATTGGTTTCCCACATTCTGAAAATATTATAAGCACAATCATCTTTTCACTTAATTTCTTCTAAAATTATCAAGGACAGTAATCCATCAGAATTAGTCAATGTGAACACATCAGTGAAAGTTCATGGCTTACATTCCATTTATGTAATAGTTTCATATGCAAGCTTACTATTTTCTATGTGCAAAGTCTTAAATTCAAAGTAAAAATATTTAGGGTAAAAGAAAAACTTTCTGAAACTGATAGAAAATATTTTTTCAATATCTAACTTGATTTTCATACTGAGGAGGAATAGCATGTTGTGGCCATAAATTTTAGATTTTAAAACCTGCTGTAACACATTATCATTACAGAAATATATGCACACTCAAGGCAATTAGAGGTATGCCCTCAGAGCTACAACCAAATGGAAGATGATTTGCTAATTTAGCCTTTAGCCAATGAGTTGATTGGAGGTTGGGGAGAGCAATAGAGACTATGCCAGATACATACCCTGAAATCACTAGAGCTGAGAATAAGTCTCCTGTGATAACTAGGAACCATATTTACCTACTTTCTCCCAAGTTACAACTTCTCATATGCTTTTGATTCATTTTTCACTGTTTAAAGATATCATAATAAAATATAAGCACCTTATTCTGTCACTTCATTTGCACTATAATTTGACTTATTTCTGCATATTTTAATAGAACTTGGTAAGAAAACAAATTACTCTTTAAAAAAAAACAAGGATTTTTGTAGAACTCCTTGACAGTGATTAGAAATATCAAGTATCTCGCTAGAACTGTTGGTAAAGTCTTTCTTTATGGACTGAGACCCTGAAAACATTCTGTATCTTCTTCTCCCACTGGAAGTGAAGTCTAGGTTCTAAAATGTACCAATAATAATGCAATTAAACCCATTAGTAATACAAAGACAGAACTCCAAGGGAGAAGCAAATACAAATTTTGATCCTATTGAGAACATTTCCCATTCAAAGGACATACCATGAAGTGTGTACTAAACCCTAAATATTTTTTTTCAATCTCAGGAACACAGGACTAAACCAGTCACTGACTCTTGAAACTCCATCATGCTCTCATTTGAAGCCTCCTTCACTGGGATTTAATGGAAAGATGTTCTGATCATCCTGTTTGCTTCATTTTGAACCTCACTTGAAAACCAACTTTTTTTTTAAAATATGTTTTTATTGATTTTAGAGAGGGAGAGGGAAACATGGATGTGAGAGAGAAACATCTTGGCTGCCTCCTGTACGCCCCCTACTGGGGACTCAGCCTGCAACTTGGGTATGTACCCTGACCAAGAATCAAACCAGTGACCTTTGGTGCATGGGACCATACTCAACCAGCTGAGCCACACTGGCCAAGGCCCAACTTTTTTCTTATGTTGTCAGAGTGACAAACTTGATTATGTAAAGACAAAATACAGAAGTGAGCATAATGATGATAAACAGTGAAGTGCTAGGATGATCCATTATATTTGAGATTAAATCTTATGACTATCACTCTGATACTTCAAAAGTACTTCTTTAGTCAAAATTCAACAGTATCATAAAGACTGTTATTTAGCACCAGCATGTCATCACAGGCTTCGGTTCAGGCTTCAGGGTAACTCCATGATCAGGGGGTTGACTAAGCATCAATGGTTTGTGGCTCTTAAGCTTATGAGCCAAGGTCATAAATATAGCTTCCACGTGGTCATTATCATTGGGGTTTTTAGCAGATGTCTCAAACAAAGGCATACTGTGTGTATCAGCAAATTTTTGTGCCAAGTCTGTAGGCACCTGAATGGCACTTCTTAAGTCACATTTATTTCCAACAAGAATCCGTGGTATATCATTGGCTAGCAAATGCTGTTTGCATTCTTCTATCCAAGATGGCAGGCTATGGAAACTGGCCATGTTGGTCATGTCATACACGAAGACAACAGCATGCACATTTCTGTAGTAGTGCTGCACCATGCTCTTTCGGAAGCGTTCTTGGCCCGCTGTGTCCCAGAGCTGGATCTGAAAATGAAAATGAAAAAAAGAAAGAAAGAGGAAAACTGAAAATGTCATTCCAATCATTCATATTGACAATTTGAATCACCTTTGCATGGTCCTTAATACTTCACTTATATTACTTTGTTCCCTTCCATAATGCCTTTTCCATGTTATTTATGGGATCTACACTCCCTTATGCTAGTCTATACACCTCATAATTAATGCAACAGAATATTTCAATTTAGCATTTAAATCCCAGTAAATCGGAACTGTCTGCATAAAAAAGTTATTTTAAAATATTAAGAGAAAATTATATCAGATTTTAATAAACATTAATGTCTAATTGCTATAAATTTGGTTACTATATGCCCTTGTCTACCCTTCATAAGTCTAATTTAAAACAGTAGACGTGCCTGGCCAGTGTGGCTCAGTGGCTGAGCATTGACCCATGCATCAAGAGGTCGTCGGTTCGAATCCTGGTCAGGGCACATGTCCAGATTGTGGGCCCAATCCCAGTGGGGGGCATGCAGGAGGCGATGTTCTCTCTCATGTATGTTTCTATCTGTCTCTCTCCCTTCCTTCCTCTCCCTTTAAAAATCAATAATAAAAAAAATCTTTTAAAATAGTAGACGTTAACAGTCTACTTGGAGGTCTAACCTCAAAACCAACAAATATATACATTCTATGAAATTCAAGCTCCGCTGAAAAATTTAAGTATAGAAAATCACTTATCTATCCTAAACATCTCTACCAACAAAACTATTATACTATCTCCTAGTCAAAATATGGGGAAATTGAGGGAAATGATATCTAAAGCTAAATATAAGTTACATATTATCTTAAAACACGAAATTATCCTGCCTTTGTTTCTTTCCTAAGAAAATGAGTTAGCCCTGGCCGGTTTGGCTCAGCGGTTAGAGCATCGGCCTGCGGTCCGGAGAGACCTGGGTTCGGTTCCCACTAAGGGCACGTACTTCGGTTGCAGTTTGTCCCCGGCCCTGGTTGGTCGTGCGGTGGCAGCCACTCGATGTGTCCCTCTCACATCGATGTTTCTCTCTCTCTCTCTTCCTCTCTCTCCCTCCCACTCTATCTGTACAAAAAATGGAAAAATGTCCTCGGGTGAGGATAAAAAAAAAAAGAAAGAAAATGAGTTAAATGATGAGAATTTACTGGTCCCAGTAGAAAAGATGAGAGACAGATTGCTTAAATAAATGTTAACTGAAAGACATGTACAATTTATAGGTATTCAAAGTATGGACTGGAAGCCAAAACTGGTGACTTCTCATAGCGCAATACAGAAATAACAGAAACTGAGATGTCGTAGATGGTCCTTAGTAAATGCCTCATTAACTTAGTAATTATCTTTATGGCTCTCCAATAAAGTATAAAGTAATTATTTCATACTTCTTGTTTCCTAGAAGTATTGATGTCATTAGAATGCATAGAGGTTTGAGCAGGACTGATGGGAAGATGCATATGGTTGAGTCAATCCCATCCCAAAGCAAAACAAACAAATGGTTTCTTAGGGATAAGTATCTTCCTCATTACTAGTGATATTGAGGACTTCCACAGTTCTCTGAGGCAGGTCTAAATTCTTTGTCATTTTTTTTTTTAAATCCTCACCCGAGGACATTTTTCCATTTTTTTGTTCAGATAGAGTGGGAGGGAGAAAGAGGAAGAGAGAGAGAAACATCGACATGAAAGGGACACATCGAGTGGCCGCCTCCCGCACAATCCCAACCAGTGCCGGGGACAAACCGCAACAAAGGTACACGCCCTTAGTGGGAACCGAACCTGGGTCTCTCTGGACTGCAGGCCGATGCTCCAACCGCTGAGCCAAACTGGCCAGGGCTGCACTTTTTTTCTTAAGTTTAGTTTTTATAAAAGAGATGCATGGGTCCAGCTGGTGTGGCTCAGTGGCTGAGCATCAAGCACCAAGAGGTCACCAAGAGTTCAATTCCCTGTCAGGGCACATACCAGGTTCTAGGCCAATCCCCACTGGAGGGAATGTAGGAGGCGGCCAATCGATGTTCTCTCTCACCCATGTTTCTATCTCTCTCCCCCTCCCTTCCTTTCTCTCTAAAATCAATAAAGGAAAAAAATTTGAAAAAAAAAGCAGAGATGCATGAAAACATAGAAAGGTAGAAATAAAGGGGAAAATTGACTTAAAGACAACCATTGTCGCCCTGGCCGGTTTGGCTCAGCGGTTAGAGCATCGGCCTGCGGTCCCGAGAGACCCGGGTTCGGTTCCCGCTAAGGGCGTGTACCTCGGTTGCAGCTTGTCCCCGGCCCTGGTTGGGTTGTGTGGGTGGCAGCCACTCGATGTGTCCCTTTCACGTCGATGTTTCTCTCTCTCTCTCCCCCTCCCACTCTATCTGAACAAAATATAAAAAAAAAAAAAATGTCCTCGGGTGAGGATAAAAAAAAAAAAGACAACCATTGTCAATATTTTGGTATATTTCTTTTCATGTGCTTTTTTAAAAAAACTTATCAACTTGTGCTTATAACAAATCATTTTTCATTGATGACATCAATTCTGAACACCTGAGCTACAGGAAATGTTATTAAAAAGAAAAGATTAGAGATGGAGTAGGAGGGAGGGAGGGAGAGAGAAACACTGATGTGAGAGGGACACATCCACTGGCTGCCTCCTGCACAACCACGACCAGGGCCGGAGATGGACCATAACCGAGAACTCTCTTCCTGCCAAGATGTCTATTGGTGTGCCGATTAAAGTCCTGCATGAAGCTGAGGGTCACATTGTGACATGTGAGACAAACACGGGTGAGGTGTATCGTGGGAAGCTCATTGAGGCGGAAGACAACATGAACTGCCAGATGTCCAACATCACAGTCACATACAGAGATGGCCGAGTGGCACAGCTGGAGCAGGTGTACATTCATGGGAGCAAGATCCGCTTTCTGATTTTGCCTGACATGCTGAAAAATGCACCCATGTTAAAGAGCATGAAAAATAAAAACCAAGGCTCAGGAGCTGGTCGGGGGAAAGCTGCCATTCTGAAGGCCCAAGTGGCCGCAAGAGGAAGAGGACGTGGAATGGGACGTGGAAACATCTTCCAGAAGCGAAGATAAATTTATCTGTTGCACAGAGCTTTGCCCTTTATTCTTTTAGGTTATCTGGAATCAGTGGCGTATGTGCTTATGTGTATAGTCCTAGGTGGGTTTTTTTGACATCTTTCTCCGTAGAGTGGGGGAAATGTTAAACTAAATAAATATTTTAGTTTGGTAAAAAAAAAAAAAAAAAGAAAAGATTAGCTCCAATTTCTTTCGACAGTTTTTTTTTTTTTAATTTCTTTTTTTCTTTATTGATTTGAGAGAGAGAGAGAGAGGGAGAGAAACATCAATTCGCCACCTCCTGCATGCCCCTCAATGGGGATTTGGCCCACAATCTGAGCATGTGCCCTGACCAAGAATCAAACCAGCAACCTCCTGGTGCATGGGTCGATGCTCAATCACTGAGCCACACAGCCGGGCTGGTCAGCTGTTATGAGAGTCATCCGAAATTATCTTTTGAAATGTTGAAGTGGGTCCTTTGTAATTTAAAAAAAAAAAAAAAAACAGATATAATTCACATACGAATTACTCTTTTGATATATACAATTCAGTGGTTTTTAGTATATTCCCAAGGTTGTCCAATTATCATCATCATCTAATTCCAGGAGATTTCATCACTCCTAAAAGAAACCCCATACCCATTAGCAGTCACCCCCCTTTCTTCCCCTGGATGATGTTGAGGAAAAACAGGAGAGGCAGATTTGCCAGGAAAGATGAATTCCTTCAGACATTTGAGGCAAAGGAGGGATTATCCAAATAGCCACGCCTAGAAGACAGTAGGAACTGCAGAATGTCAGAGGAGGAGAGGTCTGGGCAAACCAAAGATGCGGAAGTTATCCTCACAGAAGCGACTACTACTGAAGGGAGAAGGCGGAGAGAAAAGCAGGTCAAGGGACAGACTAGGTCTTACCCTGGATCCATCATCAATTACTGCCACTTTTCCTCTCTTAATTATACATATATAGTCCTTAGGAACAGATGAATGCATATAGACTTTATTACATTTCCTGAAAGGGCACTGCTATAAAACATGCTCTCTGATAATTTTCCAGTCCACAATTAAAAACATTTAACATATTTTATTTTTACCAAATAAAATAAAACAAAGTCTAGAATGTCATTTTATTAGTAAAGTAACAGAGCTTTCCAGCTTCCACTCTACAGTAAGATAAAATTAGAAGAAATGTTATTTCAGCCTGGCTGGTGTGGCTCAGTGGATGGACTGAGAGGTCCCAGTTCCAGTCACAGTCAGGGCATAAGCCGGAGTTATGGGCTCCACCACCAGTAGGGGGCGTTCAGGAGACAGCCTATCAATGTTTCTCACACTGATGTTTCTCTCTCTCCCGTCCTTTCTGTCTAAAAAATCAATTAAAAACATAATTTAAAAAAAAAGTACTCCAGCCCTGGCCGGTCTGGCTCAGTGGTCAGAGCCTCGGCCTTTGGGCCAAAGAGTCACAGGTTTGACTCCACTCAAGGGCTTGTCCCTCGGCTGCAGTTCTGGCCCCATCCTGGTCGAGGTCGTGCAGGAGGCAACCAATGGATGTGTTTCTCTCACATCGACCTCTCTCTGTCTCCCCCTCCTACTCTATCTGAAGATCAATGGAAAAGTGTCCTAGGGTGAAGATTAAAAATAAAAAAATGACTTCCGGTCAAGATGGCGGCGTAGGTAAACGCAGTATCGCGTTCTCCCACAACCACATCCAAGTTACAACAAAACTACAGAACAAGCATCATCCAAAACCGCCTGAAATCAAGCTGAATGGAAGTCCTACAACTACGGAATTAAAAAAAAAAAAAGCAGCTACATCCAGACTGGTAGGAGGGGCGGCGGCGCGAGGGGCTGGTCCCACACCCACGTGTGGCGGATAAAAATCAGGAGGCTCCCGTGGCTGGGAAGGTCCTTCCTGAGGACTGAGAGGTCCCCATCCCACACCAGGTGCCCCGTTCAGG